TTACCTTTTAGTTATTGGATTTAAAATAATTACAGTTCAGGTGTTCATTGGATTGGCATTGTTGGTTGTAAAATTGTCACCTTTCTGGTGTTAATTCTTTGCACTGTTAAGCACTGTTGCACTTTGTTCTTTCCACTGTGCTGGGTTGGAGTATTATTTATGTTGTACTTTTTGTAATTGTTTTTATATTGCATTTAAAATTGCACTTTATTTTCAAACTGAAACATTTTTTTTACAGAAAATTCAAAAAAAAAAATACTAATGGTTGAAGTTGTTTTACTTTTTTTTTAAGTCAAAAATTATATGCTAATTAGAAACATCATTATATTAACAGATTAGTCGACTAATCAAAAATTTCATTGATAGATTAGTCGACAGACATATTAGTCAAATTATGCAGCTCTAGAAAGGGCAAAATCCCGGATACAGGCGGCTGAAATGAGTTTCTTCCGAAGGGTGGCCGGGCGCACCCTTAGAAATAGGGTGAGGAGCTCAGTCACCCGGGAGGAGCTCAGAGTAGAACCGCTGCTCCTCCACATCGAGAGCCGAGCTGAGGTGGCTCGGGCATCTGTTTCGGATGCCTCCTGGGCGCCTTCCTAGGGAGGTGGCCCTGGGAGAGACCCAGGACACACTGGAGGGACTATGTCTCTCGGCTGGGCTGGGAGGGGCCCCGGCTTTCCCCGGGGGGGGCGGGGTGTCTGGAGAGAGGGAAGTCTGGGCATCTTTGCTTAGACTGCTGCCCCGCAACCCACTTCTGGATAAGCGGAGGAAAATGGATGGATGGATAAAAGTACAAAACTGTTGCCATCAAAATATGTTTAAAGTGTCAATAATGGCCCATTTCACATTCATTTAGACCATATTGTTAACAGGATCTAATACTGATGCCACTGAAATCCCAACACACTAGTATGTCTGTATTCCCATCATCAGTCCACCCTGGTGGTGTTGTGGGTCCCAGTGCCATGACAACAGCAGTCCATCAGGGGTCTATATTTAGCCCTAGATCTCTGCCCACTACGGTTGTCCCGCTGATTAAATAACAGCAGACAGACAGACGACTCCCCAGTGACGACTTTCAGAATTCATCAAGGTTGTTATGTATATCCACAATCTTGTGTTGTGTGTGTGTGGAGGCGGTGAAGAAGTCGAGTTTCCTGTGGACACTCACTTGGTGGTGTTCAGAGAAAGATTTGACTCCTCAGTTTGGACTTGGATTTGGTTTCCTATCAGTAAACTGACAGCAAAATTTAATTTGGACAGGGGGGATGTTCAGCATCGAACTAAACAGGGTGAGATGCTCCACTATCTTTTTAAGGCTAAAAATAACTGCTTAATATTCAAACAAAACAGTGTCAGACATCCACATCTGGTTGTCTAATTTTAACTGTTCCTCATTTAAATCTCCAGAACATTTACTACATCTGTATAAATATGGTAGACAAATGGAAATTAAAATAAAGCTTCAGTGCTTCTTGTCATAGATTCTCCAACTCAACTGAAATTTTAAAAGAAGAAATATGCAGTTTCGTCCTCCTTACATATTAAATGTTGAGTTTTTTATTTACAGTATAAACACACCCTCACACCCATTGGCTGTACAGACACTACTGTACTCAACCTGATTAGACTGAGTACGGTAATTTTGAATCAGCCTGAGTCGTCTCAGGTCTTGTTTACTAAGTAGAACGTCGAACACTTCTTAAAAATGTTGTTTGCTGTGACAGAGTTGTCACTTTTCTAAACCGTTGTTTCTAAGCTCCAGATGGGTCAAACGTTATATAGTACATGCCAGAGTATTTTAGACAGTTGAGTATATTTCTCTGTGTTTGTTTTGATAATAAATACATCGGATACTTCTAAACATCCTGTCTTTACTTTGCTCTGTTCCATCAGGTGTGGTGCTGGTTTGTTTCGAGGGCGATTCTGACGGCTACATCAACCTGGTGGCCTACCCCTACGTGGAAAGCAACATGGAGGGAGGGGCTCCTGAGCACGAGGAGCGTGAACCTCCCGAGAGGGAGCAACCGAGGAGGAAGCACTCCCGCCGCAGCCTCCATCGCTCTTCCTCCTCTTCTGAATATAAGGAGGAGCGGCCTGACAGGAGGGAGGCTCATGAAACCGACACCTCTGATAAGTAAGACTATTAAAGAAAAAGATCTACAAAAAGTAACACATTAGCGTTATTGACTTACTGCTTTTCTCTATTTATGTCATTGTACATAAAGAATCTTTGGGTTTTAGACCATTGGACAAAACAAGACATTTGAGCTCAGACTCTAGGACATTGCAATGAGCATTTTCACTGTTTCTTCACACTGTAAAGGTTCATTTACAGTCTTGCAAAATTTTCACCAGCTTAACTAATTGTAAAAGTAGTAATAAAAAGAGGACTGGTAAAGTCATTCTGTCAGCCAAGCAGTCCACTGGATGAATCATCTGAAATTTCTTGGACATTTATGGTCAAAGAATGAGGATGAGTTCTGCTCACACTGATGATCCTCTGACGTTTTCTCTTCTGCCACATATTTGCTGCTGTTTTCAGTAAGGCACAGTAACTGTTGGATGAATTGTGGTCCAAAAAGGCAGATATGAATCCACTCAAGGCAGCTCAAAGTTGAAAATGAGGAAAAAATGCACACTAATCCTAAAGTTTAATGGATCCACATAATAGATTTACAGATCCAACAGGAAAAAGATCAGAGTTTCTGGAGAGTTTTGAGCTGTCAAACAAAAACACACAGTCAATGTGAAAGCTACAGCTTACGTCCCCACAGGTGATATATTGGGGCAGACTTTACAGAGTCCAGCAATCAAACTCATGAAGAATACACACTTTTAAATTCACTGTGTACACAGCAGTCTGAACAGTGGACCGTCAGCAGTCATTCCTGCAGTAGTAATGATCCTCTCTCCTTTTCCCTGCAGTCTCGCAGAGCTAAAAAGTCCCAGGCTCGACCCAAAGATCCACTCAGATGTTCCCTTCCAGATGTTGGACTGGAACAGCGGTTTGACATCAGAAAGGATCAGCCACAACCCCTGGAGCCTCCGCTGCCACAAACAGCAGCTCAGCCGCATGAGGTCCGAATCAAAGGACCTCAAACTTTTCAGTATCCTTCCTCAGACAATCACATTCATTCATACCCAACAGTGTTTTTTATATTGCATCAAATAAATTCTTAAATCTAGGTACACTTACTACCTTTGTCCAGAATTTTCACAGTTAACTGCGCCCAAGGATGGAGGCTGTGAGATGTAGTTTAAAGCTCTGGGGAAAAAACACTAAGTGGACCTTATGGCGAGATGTTGTTGTTGAATTGCTGTTTCCGAGGTCCAGAATAATATGTTGTCACCACACCTGAATGAATTAGGTTGTACAAGTTATGTAAATGCATTTATATACACAATGATATTTTACAGAGTACAGTACAGTATTTGACTTGAGTACTATACCAGTGCAGTTGGAGGCATTGGATGTAAATGTGAATGAGACTGAGAAAGAGGATGGAAATAAAGGGGAGGGTTGGAGGCATCTGAGGTTATCAGGTTAAAGGTCCTGTTTTGATCTTTAGCTTCAAAGAGACTCGACTCCAGCTGCCTGGAAAACACAGCTGAGGAAAGTGAATAAGCAACATGCGCTCTGTTTTCAACATGGTCCATCTGTCTTTTGTCAAAGCAGATTCACTAGGGCCACTGAAGGTTCTCCATAATCAGCTACATGCTACACTTCAGATTATTTGAATGATCAGCTTTCTGAGAATTGGGTTTTTCATTTGTTTGTAAAACAGTTTTAGTCTGATCAACATTATCAGACAGATGCCATTTGTATATGTAGCACAAAGCACAGCAACAATAAGACAAAGGCAGGGAAAACTGTGGCCATGTTTTTGCATTTACCTGGAAATATCCTCAGCAGACACAGACCAGTTAGCTGACCAACGAGTAAATGTGTCAGTCCAGTAGAATGCTCTGCTTACTGCTAATGTGACACAAAGCACTAATGTTGCACATAGCCGGAATTACTCCCAAAGTGAAATAATATTAATTCCACGCCAAAGTAAAGTCGTGTTGCTAATATTACAGACAGTGTCAAAAATCTTAGTTAATGCACCTTTATAATATTATTTATGTTGTCAAGGTTAATGTTTGATTATATTTTAGCAGGAGGGCCTCGCCATCCTCTGAGCTGCTCCTGTTTTAATTTGCTCTTAATGGAATTTCAGCACTTTCTATTTGTTCATTGTTAGACTTTCAGACTGCCTCTTCACTTTAACAAATTTAGAAAGAAAATACTGTAAATGAGTCAAACTAAATTCCACCTCCTATAGGGAGAAGAAAAGCATCTACAGTGGCTGCAGATCAAGGCTGGTTTGCTCCTTAATATCAGCGCTTGAACCAGAGTTTCTCTTGCTTGAGAACGTGGTTCACCATTTCTCATACCCCTGCATCCTGGACCTGAAGATGGGCACCAGGCAGCACGGAGACGACGCCTCTGAGGAGAAGGCGGCCAGGCAAATGAAGAAATGTGAGCAGAGCACTTCAGCAACGCTGGGAGTCCGAGTGTGTGGCATGCAGGTACAACATCGATTCCTATTAGTGAATCTTTTAGCACCCTCAGTCCATGATGGCCCCAAACAAGAGATAATCACCTGAGGATGTCAGGAAATAATAGAATGCTCATTTATCTTTAAAACATCCTGCATCAGTTTGTGAATGTCACAGTTCACTCAGCTGGGGAAAGGTAATTAGGATTCCTCCTGCATATTTAGAAGAAGATGGTTTTATGTGCACCCATGCCTTAAGTAGATTATTTTTATACATTTATAGTAACACTTGAACACTATTATAAAAATAACAGTGCCACCTAAAACAGTATCACATTTTTAACCCTCTATGATGCAGTTGTGCACAGATATAAGGACATTTTAAGTGTTTATTAATGTACTATTATTATTATTACCACTGTGTTTCACTGTGTTATCCTCTTATGGGTGCCCATGAGAGAAGTTAGATTTATTCACAAATACATTAATAAATATTTGTTGACAATACAGCTATACATTACATTTTATATCCTGTATGTGAATGCTAAATCGGAGGGAATTAGAGTAAAGTTTTACTCTATACTGTATAGTTTATAGGTTTTACTTGGTATTGTCTCAGGGGATGTGGAGGATCAGAGGATGTATTGATACTTCAGCATCATACTATCATTATACTACTTGTAATACTACTGGTTCTGCTGATACAAAATCTAGTACTGCCACTTCTGCAAATATTACTCGTACTATCGCTACTGCTGTTGTCAGTGAAATGTTTGAGTTATCTCTGCAGGTGTACCAGCCGAGCACCGGCCACTACCTCTGCAGGAACAAGTACTATGGCCGCGGCTTGTCAATCGAAGGCTTCCGCCAGGCACTCTACCAGTACATGCACAATGGAAAGGGCCTGAGGCGGGACCTCTTTGAGCCAATCCTGAATAAACTTCACACCCTGAAGGCGGTACTAGAGAGGCAGGCGTCCTATCGCTTCTACTCATCTTCACTGCTCATCATCTATGAGGGAAAGGTGAGCCGGAACTGTAAAACACTGAAGGTTTCAAATTTGCAGTTGATCTCATCTGTTGAGCTAAGTGTGATGGATTAATGCTGATTTATTCTGTCAGAAGATATAACTTGGTCGTGTTTGGTTTTTGTACCTCCTATAGAAGTCAAAGGTGAGGCCCACATGAGGTTACATGTTTACATTCTGCTAAAGAAACTGCAGCCCGAGTTGGATTACCAGCTTTTCACGGGCCCTAAATACAGAAGGTGTCATATGTTGTAAAGATTGTAAAACCTCTTGAGGTAAAATGGTGATTTGTGATGTTGGGCTGTACAACTACGACTGACTTGACACGACACAGGGGCTCCAGACTCTCAAGGTCCCTAAAGGCTAAAATGACCTCTACACACAGCAATGTTGACAGGGAGAGCAGAGGTCTGGTGCACGTGCAGGCGACTCTCACCTTAGAGACGGTAAAAAGTGATGGCTGTTTTTAGCCTTTAGAGCTCGTTTTAGAAAAGGACAGGCCTTATATTTTTCCTGACGAAGAAACGTGTCACCTAGTGCAGCGGTGTGGCCTCATTCTTTAAACTGTGACAGTATGTCAGTGTTGTGTGTGCATCTTGTTACTGCTGTGCTAAGATGGTCAGAAAATTAGAGGCAGAATTCCTCTGAAGATAAAAAGATGAACAACTTTTAGTGACCTCTCCTGATGTTTTGGTCCGCACTGATCACTTCTGTGTTTGTTGGTGTCTGTAGGAACACGAGGGCTCTTCAGTCCTCAGCTCGGGGCAGCACGCAGCCTGGCAGCAGATGACTTCTGTGACCCATGCAGAGCCCCAGTGTGGCCCCGGGCCCCACGTTTCCTCTGCTGTCGACATTCCCTGTGAAACGGACATGAGCAAAAACCCAGACTGGGGGTCGCTGTCCGCTCAGGGACCTGGACTGATGGCTCTGCCCTACCCCTCCCCTCATCCGCCCCCACAGACCCCAACCATTAAATCAGACTGCCACTCGCTCCTCCCCCATCCCCCTTCACCTTGCCCCAATCCAGACTCCTCCCCAGCCCCAGCTCCCAATTCAGCTTCCTTCCCCCCTGCTCCTGTACCCACGCGCCAGCAGCCCCCCCTGGTGGATGTTCGTATGATCGACTTTGCCCACTCCACCTTCAAGGGTTTCCGCGGTGACACGGCAGTGTATGACGGGCCGGACCAAGGCTACGTGTTTGGACTGGAGAGCCTGGTCCAGATCCTGGAGAGCCTGCGGGACGACAAACTGCCATAGCACCCAACACACACACAATAAAAACGTATACAGCATGTTCTAAGTTAGTTCAGGTCTACGGTCAGGACAGACTTGGCTGTCACCATGGCAACATGGACTTTCTACAGTCGAGTAGGTACTATAGCAGCAGCCAGGAGGTCAGACAGTAGCACTAAAATGGAGAAGCTCAGTGTGCGTAAGGCTCTGCACATCACCCACGGGTGGCACTTTTATGATTGTGAGGATCCTTGTTGACATAGTGCATCCCCTCACCTTAACTGTAACAAGCCCACCTCCAAACTGAAATCCAGCTGTGCCATTCCCCTCTGCTCAGAAATACATTCAGGATTAACGCTACAAGGGGACTTGGGAATAAAATATTCACTGTGCTTCTATGTAATCTAACTCATCTCTCTGGACAGCATTTTATCCTTCACAACTTGCAGAGATGTGGTTTGTTACAGACATGGACATTCTGCGGGACTAGCCAAAAAAGGTACCAGGACCTCCAGTACCTGTAGCTGGATCTTAAGAGTCTTGCTCTGCACCAGTTGTTTTTAGATTGTGACTTACTGTAACTCAGTATGTTGCACCACACAAACTAGTTCTTACATAGCAATGAGCTGTTAAAAAATACAAACACTCAGTAAATGTCAGGTGTAACTGTTGAATAGCAGAAATATCTTCACTCCTCTCAAATTGGTCCTCACAAAGGTCGACGGACAAGAGCGCGCACCTGTGAACAGCTGTGTGTGGTGCCGTTTGTTGGCACCACAGGACTGAGCACGCTCCTGAGTGACCACTCAGCTGACTCCTCGCTCCCTGATACCCCACCACCACCACGACCTCTACTCCTCTTTACTCTTATGACTCTGCAGAAACCAAACCCGGACAGGTGAACAGACCCTTTCAGCGCTACCTTGAAAACACACTTGGAAACACATCCAAGCATCCGTTAAAGCAATAGATGGCGATGATAGACAGCAACTTTTTCATCAGCAGTGCAGAGGGCAGCATCGCCCACAGGGAGAATGGTGATAAAGTGCAACAGAAATCTGCATCTTAGAAGTAGGCTTTAAGGAGAGAATATAAATAATTTTAAAATGCTGTTTGTCTGTTTCGGGGGCTTAATTCAGAAACTAGTCAGTGTTCTGTAAAATCATCCTCTAGGTTATTGTGTAATACCAGAAGTATAAGTGTCAGCTTCCCAACTTTGATCTGGTGATGTCCTGTATTTTTCATCTTCTCAACAAATCCCATAAAAGACAAAAATCAAACATAACAAATACTGCCTGTGTGACATGTTCCTTCCTCATCATGAACATGCACACTGTAGTTTATTTTGACTCCGTCCCACACCGTCCTGCTGCTGGGGTTGTTCACTAGAGCAACAAATGTGGATTCATCCGCTGCTGAGAATAGTCCCCCAATAAGACAGTATTTCCTTTACTTTCAATAATGTTTTAGGTATCTAGAGCACCCAGCTGTTTTAGGAAATTACTGAGCCTCTTTTTAATGAACCTATATTTGTGAGAGTGAAAGTTATTTTAGAATTATTTGGGAGTATTTATGCCTTTATCTGATAGGACTGTAGAGAGATGATTGGAAACAAGGTCCCTGGCTGGACTCGGTTTGTGGGTCTCCATTTAGTAGCTGTCCTGCTGCCGCCAGTCTTCCTCAGCAGGTGGAGCTGCTCAGTAGTCATGGGACTGTAGATGTTCAAATGATTGCATTATTTTAGTGCTTTGAAGAGTTTTTGCTAGAATAGTTTAATTAGAACTAATGCTTCAGTATCACAAAATCATTTTAAATCTTATCTTTTAAGGATGTAAAGTCCTGAAAAAGCTCAGAAGCATGGAAACAATGGGTTGTGTGATATCATCAAAAGCTCCAGAAACATCTACCCGGTTGTTTTGTCCACTGTGCATATGTGAGCTGTTTTTCATGAAGTCAGAAAGCATTGAGAGACAGATTCACATATTATTGGTTTTGGTCTTTTCATTGGATTTGTTGACAATAAAAGTATAGAATTATACCAGCCATAGTCTTTAAATCTGGGCTGGGTGATGTTGAATAACAGGAATATTTAATAAGAGTAGTATTTTTCTGATATATGTCATATAATATATATATATGTGTTTTAAAACCACAACACAGACGATATACACAAAATCATCCATAACCATTATGTTCCCTGCAACGAGCGGTTCCACAAAACTTCAACTCATTTTTTCAAGGTTTTTAATTTGCTTGGATTTATAAATTTGACATTTGTTAAACCTGATGTAACTAAATTTTCATCTGCTATTTGAGAGTAATGTAATAATCACCCTACCCTGACACGGAACAAAAATACAGATCATCCTGTATCAGAGTTTACCAGCGTGTCTGCTGTTGTCCGATTAGGGGCGCAGCAACAAAATGCTCACCCACCTAACTGGAATAAGAGAGCGCAAATATAAATATTTTATTTTTGGTTTATTGAGGTGATAATTTATTTTTTTATTGTACCTGTCCCCATATGTGTGGGTAAATGTTTTGTCTTTTACCTGTGTCTCCTCCTAAATGTATAAAATGTAGAGAAGTGAACTGCATCAGAGACACAGAGTGTGAAATGTCAGAATAAGCAGTATTATTTGAGCTAACTCAGGTCTGATTGATTTGCTGCTGCCTCAGCTCCAATCTAACACAGACTCCAACAGACGAAACCGGACAGTGTTTCATGAAGAAACTGCCGCAGTAAATCCAGGCTTGAGTCGGCTCACGGAGCCCAACACTTCCTCCTGCTGTGGTGGGAAAGTCCTCTGAACGTGTGTGTGTGTGTGTGTGTGTGTGTGTGTGTGTGTGTGTGTGTGTGTATGTCAGAGCAAACATAGACGCCATGTTTTGTTTGATTCATATCACATTTAAGGACTTGGTAAAAAGCTGCGTGCATGTGAACGCTCTCCTGTTGGAGTCTGTTCTCAGCAGCAGGCTACAGCAGTGGTGGACCACGTGTCTTCTCACATCGTGATATTTGTTTGTGGATATTAGCCTCAGTGATTGATCGGTTATTTAGCAGTATTTTTCTGCATCTGACATCATCCTGACTGTTTGTTAGAACAGTGAAAGGAAGTGAGATTAAATCTTTCCAGAAGCTTTTGGGCTCGTGTTGTAATTACTAATGAGACGGACGCCATTAGCTCTGTCCAACAGGTGAAAATGTCCTGCAGCAAAGCGGTTGAGGGGTTCATATGACATTGTTTAGATACAACACTGCCAGTTTGGTGTCTGTCACTGAAATAATTTAACAGATCAGTAGCAGTACCCATGGACAGATTATGAGACATTGGGCCCCTGGGCACAGACATGTAAAAGGCCACTAACTCACCTACACTTCTAGCAACAATCAGTCAGTTTGTGTGTTCTTGTGGTTATTTTGCATCTTTTTTAGCCATTTTGTGTCCATTTTTGCCTGTTTTGCATCTCTTTGTAGTTGTTTTGTGTCTGTGTTGTAAATATTTTTGTAGCCGTTTTGCTGTCTCTTGGTCTTTTTCTGTCTCATTTGTCAGTGGTTTTGTGTCTTTCTTGTTGTTGCATTGTTTTTCTCTCATGTTGTGGCTTTTTGTTTGATCAACAGTGCCTTCGCAGTGCTCTG